CTGCTTGTGGTAGATCCCACCATGGAGATGATTGCCAGTCTCATCATGGGGAATAACTACCACCAGCTGCCCAGCCACTCAACCAGGCCCAGCCAAGCTGACACAAAACTATAACCACTTCACATTTCACCCCTTGTCAACATAGGTGGTATCTGTACAGGTCTCCTCCACTGGGTGGCTCTAGTCCCCCTAGTTCCTGACTGGCGACCTCACCCCCTTGGCCTGGCAGGCCCGTTCTCCCTCTTGGGCATGGCAGCCCCACCTCCTCACTCTTGGGCAGTGGCTATGGCTCCATCCCACTGGCTCACATGAATGAGCAGCCCCACACTGCAGAACCAAGTTGGTGAAGGCCTGGCTCTTTGAAACCTAGGGGGCTGTGGTTGTTTCACCCCCAAAGGCCATGGTCCTACCCTTTCAGGCTGAGGCAGCTCTGCTTCCATTTCCTTGGTCTCTCTGCTTCTGCTGATTAATGGCCAAGGGCAACCCACTCCGCCAGGAAATCTTCCTACCCTAAAGGACACTTAGCTTTCTTGCTCCATGGGCCGGCCAACCTGCTACTCCATTTTATGCTGGTCTTCTTTATCCAATTAATGCCCGAAGGCAACCCACTCCACCAGGAAGCCATCTACCCAATGGTACCCAGCTTTCTTCTCCGTGGGCCGGAAAGGATGTCATTGTCTCATGCCGGTTTTCTCGGCTCTCCTCCTGCCGTCTCTCATGCCGGTCTCTGGGCTCTACTCCTGCCGTCTCTCATGCTGGTCTCTGGGCTTTGCTCTTGCTGTCTCTCATGCCAGTCTCTCAGCTCTGCTCCTGCCGTCTGTCATGCCATATGCCGGGTTTTCTCTGCCAGGGTCTCAGGTCAAGGATGCACTCCACTCCTAGTTCCACATTTTAGGTTTGTCAGAGCAGCACCCCACTCTCTGGGTACCAAATTCTGTTCTGGTTACCTAGTGCCACTCTGACAAGAGTATACCACAGATGGGATGGCCTTAACAAACAGGAGTTTATTCTTACAATTTGGAGGCTTTAAGTCCAAGTTCAAAGTGCCAGGCTCTAGGGGTTGGATGAAAGCCCC